GGCTCCAGGCTCTGTCAGCTCTAACCAAAGGTGAAAAATCTACACACTGGAAACTATAGAAAGCTTATGAAAGAAATTGAAGACACACACACACACAGGAAAAATATTCCATGCTCCTGGATTGGAAGAACAAATATTGTTAGAACGTCATTACTACCCAAAGCAATCTACACATTCAATACAATCCTTATCAAAGTAACACCAGCATTCTTCACAGAGCTACAACAAACAATCCTAAAATTTGCAGGGAACCAGAAACGACCCAATAGCCAAAGCAATCCTGAAAAAGAAAACCGAAACCGGAGTCATCACAATCCCGGACTTCAAGATGTATTGCATTACAAAGCTGTAATCAAGACAGTATGGTACTGACGCAAAAGCAGACATTCAGATCAATGGAACAGAATAGAGAACCCAGAAATGGACCCACAAACGTATGGCGAACTAATCTTTGACAAAGCAGGAATTGAATATCCATTGAAATAAGACACTCTCTTCCGCAAATGGTACTGGGAAAACTGGACAGTGACATGCAGCAAAATGAACCTGGACCACTTTCTTACACCATATACAAAAATAAACTCAAAATGGATGAAAGACCTAAATGTAAGACAGGAAGCCATCAAAATCCTCGAGGAGAAAGCAGGCAAAACCTTTTTGACTTCGGCAGCAGCAATTTCTTACTCAACATGTCTCCAGAGGCAACAAAAACAAAAACAAACTATTGGGACTTCATCAAAATAAAAAGTTTTTGCACAGCAAAGGAGACAATCAGCAAAACTAAAAGGCAACCAACAGAATGGGAGAAGATATTTGCAAACGACATATCAGATAAAGGGTCAGTATCCAAAATCCATAAAGAACTTATCAAGCTCAACACCCAAAAAACAAATAATCCACTGAAGATATGGGCAAAAGACAGGAATAGACTTCTCCAAAGACGACATTCAGATGGCTGACACATGAAAAAATGCTCAACATCACTCATCATCAGGGAAATACAAACTAAAACCACAATGAGATACCACCTCACACCAGTCCGAATGGCTAAAATGAACAACTCAGGCAACAACAGATGTTGGCGAGGATGCAGGGAGAGAGGATCTCTTTTGCACTGCTAGTGGGAATGCAAACTGGTGTAGCCACTGTGGAAAACAGTATGGAGGTTCCTCAAAAAATTAAAAATAGAACTACCCTACGACCCAGCAATTGCACTAGTAGGTAGAAACAGGTGTGCTGTTTCAAAGAGGCATGTGCACCCCAATGTTTATAGCAGCGCTATCAACAATAGCCAAAGTATGGAAAGAGCCCAAATGTCCACTGACCGATGAATGGATCAAGAAGATGTGAGGTGTACACACACACACACACACACACTGGAGTATTACTAGGCAATCAAAAAGAATGAAACCTTGCCATTTGCAACTACATGGATGGAGCTAGAGGGTGTTATGCTAAGCAAAATTAGAAAAAGACAGGATTTTGGAAGACTATTGCCCAGAAGAAAAGATGTTTGGTTTTCACAAGCCAAAGATGTACCGAAGTATAGAGGGCTGCTGTATTTGCAGAGGTAAGTCCTCCAGTTCTTGATTCACTGACAGTAAATGCTATGAAAAGGACTTCCAGAGCTCTTTTGGGTCACATGAGACTGGTTCAGGAGACATCTGTAATGCCTGTGTCCTGCTTGTGAAAAGATGGAAGAAATTGCCAGCAGGATCACAAAAAAACTGGAATCATGTGGTAGATGCAAGGGCAGGACCCAGTCTGAAGACAACATTGAAACCAAAGAAAGTGAAAACTTTATCTGGAAACATGATAAAAAGCAACCAAATCAGTAAACTACAGAAGGAATTCAAACGTCACAATTCTGATGCTCACAGTACCACCTCAAGTGCCTCCCCAGCTCAGTCTCCTTGTTATAGTAACCAGTCAGATGATGGCTCAGATACAGAGATGGCTTCTGGCTCTAACAGAACGCCAGTTTTTTTCCTTTTTAGATCTCACATACTGGAAAAGACAGAAAATACGTTGTGGGATTATCTATAAAGGCCGTTTTGGAGAAGTTCTCATCGACACACATCTATTCAAGCCTTGCTGCAACAATAAGAAAGCAGCTGCTGAGAAGCTGGAGGAGCAGGGGCCAGAGCCTCTGCCCATCTCCACTCAGGAGTGGTGACTGAGGTTTAGGTAGAAGGGGAACAAAAAAACTATTTAAATTTTGGAAAGAAAACAAAGCAACAAAACCCTCCTATTTTTAACTTGGATACCTGCTATTCTGCCAAAAGACACTTTCTAGAATAGTTTTGAATGGGTTGTTATTTCTCCTCCAGTTCCACAAACTCTGAAGCCAGTGTCTAGCTTACTAAAAGAAAAAAAGTACACATAATATTTAAGATGCTGAGTATTTCACAGGAAAGCTGATGCTGCTGTAAAGTGCTCTTTAAGTCTTTTTTTTTTTTTAATCCCCTTCTAATGAATGAATCTAGGGGAATTTCAGGGGACAGAGATGGGATTTGTTGTATGATAAACGTATGTAGTTTTAGTCTTTCTATATTGAGAAGCAGTGTTGGGCATTTTTAAGATGGCTGGCTATACTTGTTTTCCTTCATGATAATAAATTTGTCATAACTCAGTAACGTGGACTTGCCCCAAGAGGTAGTTGTTAATAATTTAAGGTCTTGCCAAGGTTCTGATGATTCAAACCTGTACTACTGAATATTAAGCAGGACAGACTAAGCTCTCTGGTGCAAATGCCTCGAAGGAGTAGTTTCTAAACATACAGAGAGGTAACTTGAGTGTATATGTTGCATCCTCTGTCACCTCCCTCCATATTCATTTTTGATAAAGATTTTAATCTATATTGAAACTTCTAAAGCAGAATCAAAGCTCCTCTGGGGAAATGTCAAGTTTTAGGATGAGCAATCCTAAATGAAGAGAACCAAAGCATTGCCGCATGGTAGAGATCACATTCTATTAAAAATGTTAAATTATCGGGGCGCCTGGGTGGCGCAGTCGGTTAAGCGTCCGACTTCAGCCAGGTCACGATCTCGCGGTCCGTGAGTTCGAGCCCCGCGTCAGGCTCTGGGCTGATGGCTCAGAGCCTGGAGCCTGTTTCCGATTCTGTGTCTCCCTCTCTCTCTGTCCCTCCCCCGTTCATGCTCTGTCTCTCTCTGTCCCAAAAATAAATAAACGTTGAAAAAAAAAATTAAAAAAAAATAAAATAAAATAAAAATGTTAAATTATCTAAAAAAAATGTGCACGTCTTCAGGATGGCACACACAAAAAACAAAGGTTAATGCTGCTTGGGGCACATTTCTTAGAGGGCTTGCCTAGTGTGTAAATAATTGACTTTTGTTTGTGTTACATGACTGGGGACTTCATTGAAAATCTGCGCAATTCAGTTTTAGCTCTGGATTACTTCAGTTGATCTTTGTGAAGGTTTTGTCTGTGTAGAGTGAGTTGGGGTTGTTTGACTGGTTTTAACCTATTAGGGTCTGGGGTTTTTGTTTTTTTTTTTTCACTCTATATTAAAGTAAAATTCTAAAAGAAAAGAAGTGTGTGTTAATGCTGAGTGGGCTGGTTTAGGTTTGACTTCTTTTAGTCAGGCTTTGTGAACATTGAAATGTTAGATGATGCATCCTGAACACGGAGCTCTTTGATTCCAAAATCTTCATTTGAGGCCTTTTTACCTGAACCCAAACCAAAGTACTGTCATTGCCTCTTTTCTAAACGTTCAGGAATAACCTATCATAATTAGATAGGTTCAGACCTATCATAATTAGGGAAGATCATTTGCCTACCTTATAACAACATGACTCAGTGCTTATTTTTAAAACTGGATTTTAAAAATTAGATAGTATAAATAACAGGAGTGAGCCATTTTTTACGGGCACCATATAGTTTTATAATTCTTAATCTAAACTTAAAATTTTATATTTCTTCCTTATGGCAAAAACTACAAGCCACCATATGCACAGATTACACCATGAGTTGGGTTGGCTCTCCCACAGCCTCTGAGGTGAATTACAAGAGTCCCAGCCATTATCATATTCCTCCTGTTGTTTCCAAATGGTTTTTTTTTTAATTTTTTTGTACATTTTGGCCACAGTATTGGTGGTAGAATATACTATAATATGGATCATCTCTACTTCTGTATTTATTTATTACCAGACCTCAACCACAGCCTTCTTTTTCCCCTTCCACCTCTTTGCCTGTAGGATGTACTATATGTAGTCATGCACTTTGTATTAATATATTAGAAATCTACAAATCTGTTTTGTACTTTTTATACTGTTGGATACTTATAATCAAAACTTTTATTAGGGTATTGAATACATTTAGTCTTACTAGAAAATAAAAAAAAATTAGAGAAAGAAAATGGCCTACGACTTCACTCATAGGAGGAATTTAAGATACAAAACAGATGAACATAAGGGAAGCAAAAATAAGAACAGGGAGGGGCAGGGTGTCTGTCGATTAAGAATCAGACATCAGCTCAAGTCATGATCTCACACTTCATGGGTTTGAACCCCATATCTGGGTCTTTTCATTCCAGCTTGGAGCCTGGAGCCTACTTCGGATTCTGTCTCCCTCCCTCTCTGCCCTTCCCCTGCTCGTGCTCTCTCTCAAAAATAAATAATAAAACATTAATTAATTAATAAAACAGGGAGGGGGACAAAAGACTCTTAAATACAGAGAACAAACTGAGGGTTGCTGGAGGGGTTGTGGGTGGGGATGGGCTAAATGGGTAAGGGGCATTAAGGGGCATTAAGTGCTTGTTGGGCCAAGCACTGGGTGTTATTTATACATAAGGGATGGATGAATCACTGGAATCTACTTCTGAAATAATTATTGCACTATATGCTAACTTGGATATAAATTTAAAAATAAATAAAATTAAAAATAAACAAACAAACATACAAACAACTCTCTCCATAGCATGTATCTTTTGAAAAACAGTTACTTTCTCATTTGTTAACAGATCAATTTTATCTTAGGGCACCTGGCTAGCTCAGTCAGTACAGCAAACAACTCCTGATCCTGGGTGGTGAGTTCAAGCCCCACATTGGGCCAAGAGCTTACTTAAAAACAAAACAAAACAACACAACATTATCTTGAACAGTTTATTTTCAAAGTATCTGCTAATGGGTTTACTACTGACAACCATTGTTTTCAACCTAATGTGGCTAACAAAGAGCTAGGAATACAAACTATAAAAGGATCAATTCTGCTATTGTCTTGCTATTTGTGCTTGCATTATCACCTTCAATCCACCATTTCTAAGCCCAGAATCTTTTAAACATATTGTCCATTTTTATAAGAGCTAGTTTAAAACTGGAAAAAAAAGTCCTATCTAGACTTACCATGGTGATCATTTGGTAATATGTACGAATGTTGGATTGCTATGTTGTACACCTGAAACTACTGTCAATTATATCTCAATTTCTTTAAACCTAATCTTAATGGGTAAAGATGTGGCACATATACATAATGGAATATTACTCAGCCATAAACAAGAGCAAGATCCTGGTGCCTGGATGGCTCAGCTAGTTAAGCCCCCAACTCCTGGTTTCAGCTCAGGTCATGATCTTGCGGGTCTCCCCCACATTGGGCTCTGCGAGCCTACTTGGGATTTCTCTCTGCCACTCCCTGGCTCATTTTCTCTCTCTCAAAATAAATAAACTTAAAGAAAAAAAAAAAGGGAGCAAGATCTTGGGGTGCCTGGGTGGCTCAGTCGGTTAATCATCCAACTCTTGATTTCAGCTCAGATCATGATCTCACAAATCCTGAGTTCGAGCCCCACCCTGGGCCCTGCACTGACAGTGCAGGAGCCTGTTTGGGATTCTCTCTCCCCCTCTCTCTCTGCCCCTCCCCTGCTCGTGTGCTTGCTCTCTCTCTCTCTCTCTCTCAAAATAAATAAAAGAAAAAGCAAGATCTTGCCATCTACAACACCATGGATGGATCTAGAGGGTATAATGCTAAGTGAAATAAGTCAGAGAAAAACAAGTAACATTTTAGTCTTATGTGGAATTTAAGAAACAAAACAAATGAACAAAGAAAAAAGAGACAAATCAAAAAACTGGACTCTTGGGCGCCTGGGTGGCACAGTCGGTTAAGCGTCCGACTTCAGCCAGGTCACGATCTCGCGGTCCGTGAGTTCGAGCCCCACGTCAGGCTCTGGGCTGATGGCTCAGAGCCTGGAGCCTGTTTCCGATTCTGTGTCTCCCTCTCTCTCTGCCCCTCCCCCGTTCATGCTCTGTCTCTCTCTGTCCCAAAAATAAATAAACGTTGAAAAAAAAAAATTAAAAAAAAAAAACAACAAACTGGACTCTTAACTATAGAGAACAAATTGATGGTTACCAGAGGGAAGGTGGGGGGGGGGGGAGCGTGAAATAGGTGAAGGGGATTGAGAGTACACTGATCGTGATGAGCACTGAGTAATGTATAGAATTGAACTGCTATATTCACTGCTACACCTAAACTGCTACACCTAAAACTGATATAGCACTGTAGGTTAATTACACTGGAATTAAAATTTTTGAAGTAAAAATAACAATAAATCACCCTACAGATATACTAGTCCATGGTTTATTACAAGGTATTCACTGTAGCACTATTTGTAATAATACTGGAAACAACTCAAATGTCTATCAATAGCAAATTTGTTATGAGATACCCACAGAATAGAATACAAGGCAGTCATAAAAAGTTAAGGGGGGCCTGGGTGGCTCACTCAGTTAAGTGTCTAACTTCATTCAGCTCAGGTCATGATCTCACAGTTCATGAGTTTGAGCCCCACATTGGACTCTGCACTGACGGTGCAGAGCCTGCTTGGGATTCTCTCTCTCTCCCTCTCTCTCTGCCCTTCCACTCTCTCTCAAAATAAATAAAATTTAAAAAAAAAATTAAGAAGGGGTGCCTGGGTGGCTCAGTCGGTTGAGCATCCAACTTTGGCTCAGGTCATGATCTCGCAGTCCGTGAGTTCAAGCCCCTCATCGGGCTCTGTGCTGACAGCTCAGAGCCTGGAGCCTGTTTCAGATTCTGTGTCTCCCTCTCTCTCTCACCCTCCCCTGTTCATGCTCTGTCTGTGTCTCAAAAATAAATTAAAAAAAAAAAAAATTAAGGAAAATCTAAGGTAACTATGCCCTGATGAATGATCTCCAAGACATATTGCTAAATGTTCAGAAATGTGTCAAATAGGCTACCGTTTATACAACAATGTAGAATTAATAACTACATACCATTTGTTTTTATATGCAGAAGGTTGTCTTTGAGGAACATATAATAAATTCCCACTTGAGAAGAAAAACTATGCGACTAGAAAATAAGGGGCAGGGGCGCCTG